ATTTACAATAAGTATATGATTTTAGGGGGTGGGGTCATTGAAGAGAAGTGGAGTCATTAATAGTGTTAGAATTGGATGAAATTCCAAAAGAGAGATCGTGTGTTAGAGTTTTGAGTAGAAAGGGGAGTGGAGGCTTGGCTAGGGTTATATGTATACTTGGGTAAGTTGTGAAAGCATTGAAGAGGGGTAATTGAGAGAAGCTGGTGAAGAAGAGTACTTGTTAATTGTATAAACAAAGAGTTCATCAAAACTCCTAGGAAGAGGAAGACCACTAAGCCTGCCCTTAAAATTACCCACAAGCAGAAAAAATGATGCTATTTAATATTAGTGAATGATTTGGTTATAAGACAATTAATTGTAAAAATCATTTAAGTGGACTAATGTTGCCTTGGGTAATTCAATTTTCAACAAAATGTGGAAATTAGGTGATTCTACTAATGCTTATGGTAGATGCATTATGAAAAAATTCAAAGGTTTTCGAGAAATCAGGTAGCTTGAGAACATGTAAGAAACTCATCGAAATTTTAATATGTTCATAAAATTGTATAGTAAATGTAGTCTAAGTTAATTTATCTTAGTTTAAAATGTCAGAGTAAGATCATTGTAGTGGAAAAATTTTTAATGGATCTTATATAGAAAGTGATTAGATTAGTTCATAAAAAAATTAATATTAGTGAATGATTTGGTTGTAAGACAATTAATTGTTGTTTTGATTTTAGTAAGATCAAGTTGAAATTGTAGAGTTTTTTTGTCCTTAAGGTGCTTAAGACAACTCTTAGATGATTCAAATAAGTGATTTTATCATACCTTAGGTCACCATGCCATCAAAATGGAATACAAAAAGATTTTCATTAGACGATCTTAATTCTTTATACAATCTTATTACTTATTTCTTTTCTCAATAATTCTATATATACTTGGGTTTATTGGCATTTCAATCTCTCATCTTAATTCCTTTTGATTACAATATCTAGAAAATATAATATTTTTATTTTTATTGAATAAAAAAAAAACTGATTTATGCATTAGTAAAGGCTGTTGCTGTCAGGATAGTGGTGGTGGTCAGAGAGGTAAGTAGTTTTGGTGGCAATGACTGGAGATCAATTGTGATAGATATTTAAAAAAAAAACTCATAACACTAATAAGTTATTTTAAGCGTTTTAAAAAATAATTTGGTTTATTACAAATAATTTAAATCATTAAACAAACATATTTATTAAAAAAAAATGAAAGTGATCCCAAACAACACTGTAGATCTCATCTAAAACTCTAAAAACCATTGAATGAGAAGATAATTAAATGATGCCTTTAACTCTACATATTGTAGGAGAATAGGAACATCTAAAACTTATTCCATTCAGTTTTACATAAATCTAATACTGTCACTTTCAGAGTAGTAATAGACTTGCTATAACTACTAATGACTTAATAATAAAGAAATAAATCTATAAACTATAAAAACTCACAAGACCCACTAACTATTAAAATTATTCATAACATAAATCATAAGAGGAAGTACTGGACAAATGCATAATACAAAAAAGCATATTAAGAAAATCAAAGATAAGTGCCACCAAAAACTTTAATTGGAGATTGATAAAGGAACTCAGATGCCAAGATAGAAAATAACAAACAAGTTGAAGAAAAAGTATGGAAAAGAAAGAAAACTGAGAGGTATGACCTTATTTTGAAAGATGATTAGGCAAACCATAGTTGATTTTTCTAACACACGATCTCTCTTAGATTTGATTACAAATTTAATTTTTTCAATAATAATGTTTTCATAAGAAGCCTTATTTTGAAAATGAAGTTATTTCTTTTGGACCAAATATGATAAGGCATAATATGCACAACTAACAAAAAGAACCTCTTGGTAGTTTTACAATTGATATTGTCATAGTAATTGAGAATTTGCTACAAAGAGCCACGCAAATGAAAAAAAAAAACTCTCATAAGGAATGTAATACCAAGGATGTTTAAGGAAGCACACAATCAAAGAAAAAGATGTTGTGGATTTCTTTAAAAGGATTACATAAGGCACATTTATCATTAACCTTGAAATCTTCTTAATAAAAGTATCAGTGGTTATGAAACTCTATTTGATAATTTTCTAATCGAAAAAAGCTGAATTGATTGCAAATCCTTTGAACAAAATATATTTATGCCATACTACCTTAAGAATATTATCAGAAAGATTAGTGTAAAGTAAATTATTGGAGAAAACTTTCTTTCTTAACCAAAAAGAAGATAAGTGACTATTCATGACATTAGTGAGAAAATCATTTTTAGGATCTCATTACCAATGCAATAGGGAAGAAAACAATGATCATCAATGATAAAGTCAGAAATCAGAGCCATAGGGGGCAATAAAAAAAAATGTAATACATGTTAAGAGAGTTGCTACTTAGCTTTTGCATGTTTTAAATTCTTGTAACTTGTATAGTTTTGATGATTCCATATATTATTGTTCTAATTATTATTTTCTCCTAACATTTTTTGGAAGAATTGTTGTTGTTTTTGTGTGGACTAATATTTCATGATAATTGTACTCCAGACTAATAAAGACTTCAAATCAAATGCAGCATAAGATAATTTATAAATTGAAGTCTGTATTTTTCACTTTATCGAGTCTGAGAGAGAGTAAGTGTAATTGAATAGCCTAGCACACACACACACACACACACAGGGGGAGATCTTTAAAAAGTCAAAGTTTTCTTATACTGGTCGTACGGGATGATCAAGTCAGTTTTACCCCTCAGAGAGCAATGGAACGAATAGAAAGTGAGAAAATTTTTCTAAGTCCTGATCGTCCAGACGAAGTGTCCCATTCGTCGCTGTTCGATGTCCTCTAGATTCTCACTTTGAACTGTTCGTCTAGATAAAGTGTCCCATTCATCCCTAGACGATGTCCTATAAACTCAGGTTTCATACTATTCGTCTATACGATTTATCAAGATCATCCCAGGATGATGCTCTCTGGACGCAGTCGTTTGCACGATATTTATGTACGTCCCAGGACGATGCTCTCTAGATAAGGTCGTCAAGACGAAAATTATAGTTCATCCCAGGACGATCTTCTCTGTTCTGGAAACGTAAGAGTCATTTAGTTTTTGTATAAAACAAACTATGAAAATAACCGTTCGTACCGGATGAACATAGTTCGTACGGGATGATGATCGGGTACGAAGTGAAATCGTACCAGTTCACTTTTAGTTCGTACACAGCAGCAGTTATACTGTTCATCCGTACGAATTGAGATCGTACAGGACGAACAATAACGCACAGATTTGAATAATTGCAGTTTTGGACGGTTTTTCATGTCTTTCGTATAAAAGGTCTAAATAAGACTGTCTTGCAATCTTTTTGTAAATTGGTCTTCGTGCAAACTGAAGGGAGATTGAAGGAGAGAGTGAAAGAGAGTGTTTGAAGGAGAGATCTTACTACTAGAGCGTGAAGGATTCACTTGTTACTCAAAGGTAAGGATCTCAACTTTGTGATTTATGATTACTTCACTATTTTCTCTTGTCCTTTTATATTTATCTTGAGAAGATCATTCAAGGAGATTCGGTTCTCTGCCGACACTTGGAGAGTGTGAAAGACGAAGGGTTCTCTGCCCACACTTGGAGAGTGTGAAAGGATGAAGGGTTTTCTGCCCACACTTGGAGAGTGTGAAAGGACGAGGGATTCTCTGCCGCACCAAGTAGTGGTGGAAGAGAGTTTTTGTGAAGGCTTCTCCGCCTTGCTGTGGGGGAAAAAAGGAGAGACACTAGTGGTATTAGTGCAATACTCGAAGGGTGCCTCCGGGGAGTGGATGTAGGTCGTGTTTGACCGAACCACTATAAATCTTGTGTTTTTTATTTTTCCGCTGTTTTTTTACTTTACTATTCTGTGCTTAATTTGTGGTTGAAAAAATTGTTTTAAAAAAATTTCATTAAAAAAAGGTTTTTATATCGATTTAAAAGTTAAGAGGGAAAATTTTTAAATGATCCAATTCACCCCTCCTCTTGGTTAGTCGTTGTGATATAAGCTTATGTATAACAACCTAATTCATATTTAACGAGTTTCAATAATACCTAATGCACATTCCTCTCCACTAATGATAAGCCCTCTAGCTAAGTGTTTGTAGTGGGATGCAATCAATATAGATGTATTTTTGGGAGAAATTAAATATAGACTTAGTTTTTGTTTTTTAATAATAGAATGTCACATTATGAATAATATATTTCCTCGGGAGGTGAATATATTATTCTTTAATGGATTCATATTGCAAAAATACAACTTGTATCTAAATTATCATAATCAAATATAATGGAGAACTTTATATGATCCTATAGTGTCAAAATGATGTTAAATCATATATTTCGCTAGAATAACTAGGGTACTTCATCTTTAATTTCATAATCAAATTGAATTGCAATGAGAAAAGATATATTATCCTAGAGGACAAAAATATCATTTGCCATTGAGAATTCGATCATGAAGATTATGATGTTAAATTTTCTTTTAGTCTCTTAATTTTATCCAAATAATAACTTTAAAAAAACCAATTTAACACGAGTTTTATGAATTATATAACATATAAGTACATCTAGATGGTTTAGGTATGATAATTTAAATTTAAAGTATAAGGTACACAATAAGAAATGAATAGTAATTAACAAATAATTTAAATTTACTTTCAAATCATTTGTTGTGATTGTGAATGAGAGCTATTGTATACATTTATAAGGATATCCATAAGAAGTGCTCTGGAGTTTATACTATCAATTCCATGTGTTGCAGACTCCTCAACAATTTATACAAGATTGAGGCTTCGTTTGGGTCGGCTTTCTTACTGCTTCTTAAAGCAACATCTTAATAAAAAATTACAATTTTTTGTATTAAAAAGCTACTTTAAAAAAACATTAAGAAAGCTGTCCCAAACAAAACCCGAATCAGAATAAGACTTATATAATTGATTGTTAGAAAGGTCCTTTTTTCCCTTATTGAAATTGTTGCACATCTTTGTCTTGAAATTGCTCCCAAGACCACCATTGCCTCCTCCAGCCCCAAAAACACAAGCTGGCTTCAGGGGCATCGGAGCAGCACTACTACTGATGTTAACAATTAGTTCCCTCACCATCCCTATTGCCTGCTTGATCTGATCAAATGTTCCTTCCAGTTTGATGTTCCTAAGATTTGCATTAGTCTCGTGCTCCCGGATAAATAATTTTGCTCCTATCAAATGACAGACCTGCTTGGTGTTCACCCCGCCCTTACCAATGATGGTACTAGCCAAAGCTGGTTGCTAGACCAAGACCAGAAAGAGGCGGGGGTCCGGTCACATGACATAGCTTTATGTTCGGCTGCTAGTAGAATTGTGCCACGTATTTTCACTATTTATCGCGCGCCCCGACAACCTGACCCGGAATGGACCCAGTATTGCTCGATATTTTTTGATTTTGCTAGGTATTTCTTGGTATTGGTCAATTTTGCTCGGCAATAACCAATACCGAGAAAATACTGAGCAATACCGAGCAAATACCGAGTAATACCGAGCAATACCGAGTTGTACCGAGTTGTACTAAGTTAAACTCGGTACAACTCGGTATTGCTCGATATTTGTTTTCAAAGAGGGGTATTTCTCGTTATTGCCAAGTAATACCTAGCAATACCTAGCAATATCGAGCAAATACCGAGTAATACCACGCAATACACGAACATAACATTCCCGGGTTCCGGTCCAGGTCAAGTCGTCGAGCCATGCAGTAAAGAGTAAGAGCATGTGACAACATGTTATTGGCGGCCGGACATAGCTCTACGTCCTGTCAGAGGATGTAATAATTGTTCCTCAAAGCGACCCGCAAGTCGTCTACCAATTGCATTCACCATTGGGTGTTATTTATGACCTGAATGAATTAGCCTGCCAAGCTCTCTTTCTTCATGGGAAAAATGGCATTTATCACCAAATTTGCAGCCCTCTGCTGTGTTATACTTGTTGCATAGGCGAGTATTAGTGACTGGAGTTGCAGGGCCATCAGATAAGGAGGTTGGTCCAATGAGATGATTCCTTAAAGGAGGGGGAGAGTAGTACTTCTTCGGTTGGTTATCTGTGCTACAACACTATAACCCCAAGGTACGTAGTGGAGAAAGTGACATCCCTCACCCCACTAAAAGGGCACCCAGAAGTGCTAAAACACTTGGTGCATGGCTTTGATTTGCTTCCCAAACTAGATTGATTGGATTCTATTTCTTTCGATCGCTTAAGGCTGGGAACATTGCCATTCCCATTCGTAGCATCAGGCCTACCCCTCTTACGAGTTGCATCGTGCGAGTACATGGCTACAGAAAAATTCAGGAAGAGACTAAAGAAGAACAAGAGAAAATGGTAAGCACCATCAAAAACCTTAATCTAACTATGGAAGATGGAAAAACCCTAGTTAGGGTTTACAAGTATCGGATAAAGAAGAGACAGCCTTAGAAGATGGGAAAATTATTAGGTCCAGTCACCGGACCTATTTCTACATTCAGACACCAATAGAAAGAGGACATCTGGATGAATACACATGTAATTATTTAATATAATCTTTTTTCTTTAATATATATCAGCCCGATCTGACCCAACCTGGTCAACTATTTTTTTCATTTTAAACGTTGGAGCTATTTTAGAAAACCATAAAAGATCTAAATGTTTATTGATTTTGAAGAAAAAATAAGCTAGAAAATTGCAGAAAAGAGATGTAATGCTCTCGAAAGAGAGAGGGGGAAGGGGTACATGAATCGGAAGGGATGCATGAATCAGAAGCTAAATTAGCTGGAACTTCTTTAGGTTTCAACATATCAATAAGTTTCAATCTCATCGCAAGATGTATTATTGAAAAAATGAACTAAAAAGTTGTAAAAATAAAGCTGTGCTGTGTAGAAAAAGGGCATAGATTTCAGCCATTAGAAGCTCAAGCTCTTAGAAGTGTGTTTATGGATTAGGCGGAAAAGTAAAAAAGCTCTTAGTGTTATTGTTTAGCTTACATTAGTATTTTTAGGAAGAACATCATTATTTTCAGGTTTAGTAAAGAAAAGGATGATGAGCATTTATTGCGCTTTATGTGTGCTTTAGATGTGCTTTTGTTGGGCTTTATGTGTGTTTCATGTGCACTTTACCTGTACTTCACTTTTACTTTACCTATGCTTTAGTTGTGCTTTAGGTGCACTTTGTAATATTTTTTTACCATTTCAGGTTATTTATAAAGATAAGAGAGAAGCATATGAATGTTATTATACTTATGCCCATAATAATGGCTTTAGCATCCGGAAGGATCATCACCATTTCTGGCCAAATTCTAGGAAGATAAAATCCAAGGACTTTGTCTGTTCAAAAGCTAGTTTCAAGAAAAGTATCGATCTAAATTCAAGAAAGAAATTTACTAAATTAGATGTTAGAACTGGTTGTCCATCTATAGTGAGTTTACAGTTAATGAAGATGGTTACTAGCATGTCAAAAGATTTATTAAATCTAATAACTATGATTGGCTAGCCCAGCCAACCGACACCTTCTGAGATCATGTAGGAATGTTGTTGAGGAAAATCTTCCGTCTTAAAATCAATGACAGATGCAGGGATTAGAACCAGTGATGTATATACCTACCTTGCAGAGGAAGTTAAAGGATACGAGAATGTTGGATTCTCTAAGAGGGATGCCTATAATTTTATTCATAACGAGAAAAGAGAAATGATTGAATTTGATGACATTAGTTCTTTGATTCAATTATTTAAATATCGATAATTTGAAAACCACATGTTCGCATGGGATGTTCAAATTGATGAGTATGATAGATTGTTAAATTTTTACTAAGTTGATGGCAGAGGCATGATAGATTATGAATGTTTTGGAGATATGTTGATTTTTGATACTAGCTACAGGCTCAATAAGTATAATTTTATATGTGCATAATTTATTTATGTTAACAATTATTAGTAGAACATTTTATTAGGGGTTGCTTTTTTTATAAGAAATAATTAAAAGTTTTACATCGTTATTTAAAATATTTGAACGAATAATGGGTAATAAACATCCAACAAAAATATTCTCTAATTAGGACCAAGCTATAACTAGGGTCATAGAAGATGCATTATCTAGCACTCATCATAGATTATGCCAATGACATATCTTTAACAAGGTTCCATCAAAAGTTCCTATCTTCAATAGCAACAATAAAGCCAAAGGCTCTTCTATAAGTGTATTAGGAAGTGTGATTCTAAGGAAGTGTTTGAGGAGGCATGGGCTGAAATGATCAAGGAAGGAAACCTTCATAACCATGAATGGTTGTAGGATATTTATAAGATAAGGAGAAAGTGGCTAACAATTTTTAACAAGGATTATTTTAGCATGAGCATTTTATCAACATAGCATAGCGAGTGTACTAATAATGTATGTCATGACATTTTGAAGCCAACAAATTCATTAACTAATTATTTTCTGGGGTTATAAAATGTATTGATGAATTGACAGTGAAATGAGCAGGATGAGGAGTACAAATACAGTAAGTTTAAAATTGTTCCTATGATAAAGAACAACTTAATATTAAATCAAGCTGCTCAATACTCAAGAAAACTATATTCATTTTTTGAGGAAGAATTTGTACAAGCTGTGGGAGAAATGAGTATAGACTTCGTCTCGACTGATTCTTCAAAGTTTATAGTCAACTATATAGAGAATAAGGACCAACATCATTCTTGGGTGGTTTACTTTAATGCAATAGAATGTAACATTCAATGCAACTGTAGGAAGTATGATACAATAGGATTATTATATTCTCACTGTATGATGGTTTTGAAATAGTTCGATATGGCTAAAATCCCTAAGAAGTACCTACTACTACAATGGTCAGCAAGGGCTCGAAAAGATATTTATTCAGGTAACTTGGGCAATGCTTAAGGAAATAATAACTTTGAAGATTGTAGGGGATTCATATTCAGAAATCAAGTGAGCAGATTTACGTATCAAATGAGCACAAAAGCTCAAGGAAATGAGGAGGTAGAGGAGTATATTCTTGCCTCAATGAAAGACATGGTTGAAAACTTATACTTAATTCTTGATAATAAGAAACAAAATTAGAAGTATATTGCAAGATCCCAAGGTGGAAGTGTTAATTTGAAAGATTCTCTAAAGCGTAGACATAATGACATATTTAATGCAAGCTTGAAAAGCCATTAGGAAATGAAGAAGCGGGCTAAGAGTAATTTTTAATAACCTGTCAATTATATTATTCCTTACCTAAGACTAAAGCTGTAGTTTTTAACATACAAGAAATCTTTGGTGGGGAAAAAAATAATAGATGATCATCTTCAACATAAATGAACTTTTCAAGCATGCCTAAATGTTTCAATGAGGAATATATAATCGACCAACCAACAAGCCAACCTGATGTTGAATACACCAAATTGATGATTGATTTCATTACTTCGGAGTTGAAATTTAATAAATTTTCTTTATAATAATATTTATTGGGAACTCATGAATATTTATTCTAATAACTATTGAATTTCAATAAAGATTTTTTATTATAATAATTATTTATTGGGACTTACTACTATTTATTGTAAGAATATTTTAGTGATTACTTATAATTTCAAATGCGCTTTAGGTGCACTTTAGTTTAACTTTGGTTGCACTTTAAGTACATTTAAGTGCACTTTAAGTGCACTTTAATTGTGCTTTAGGTGCAATTTAGTTACGCTTTGGCTGCGCTTGTGTTACACTTTAGGTGTGTTTTTGTTGTGCTTTAGGTATGCTTTGGGTGCGCTTTATTTATTCTTCATAAATTAAAATTTATAAATCTTCAAATTTTTAAATGTACAAAAGTTACAAAATAAATAAAAACTATATATTAACATTTAAATAATAAAATATTCATATTTACAAATCATATACAAAATTTACAATTTTTTTAAATAATATTTTTACTTCTTTGTCGTAAGAAAAAAAAATATGCTAATTCTGTCCTAAAATTTTTTATATACTTTTTTAATATTTATAAGAAGCCCAATCCACTTTCATTCGTAGAACAACTTTCTCAATGTAAACACACGAACATTTCACAGTCAACATCGTTTAACTGAGTTGGAATTCTATGAACAGTTTGTAAATTCTATTTTGTTATATCGATTGTAAACGATCCTTTAGTGTTGTAATACAAGTCTTATATTTCAATAAATAAATCTATTATTTTATTTTATGTTCATATTGAGAAAAGAAAATAAGATGCTTAAAATCTTTATTTAACTTACAACTTTATAACATATATCCTTGTATTCTAGATTTAATAAGGAATCATATAATTTCCATACATTCTCTTGCCTATAATATGTACCCAATGCTTACTAAAAAATTTTGGTTGAATAATAAGACTATTTTCTTTAACAGAATCTAGATTAATGTGTTGGATAAACATTTCAAAATCTTAATTGTACCTCTTGTATACCTGTAATAAGTGAGCAATATAAGAGAAATAATATGATAAATAGATTATAAATAATTATTATACTTATACTGTACAATAGAGAAATATATAAGTAGCATTAAAATTTCTTTATCATTAACCTACTCTTCTCGAATAATAAATAAGCAAAAACATCTACATTTTTTTTAGTTTAAACCCACGGAGGGGCCTATGCGTTGATATAAATCAAAATTACACGTCCTTAAGGAGATTATCAGCCCGCTAATGCTCAAAGAGCTACAATCAATCAAAAAGATAAAAAAACCTAAGGGCCGATTATCCCCATCTACGCAAAATAAAATATAGCCTAGATACATTCTAAGGCGGCATGGAAAAAGTGCCCAAAAATGAGAAAGCTCAATAGATATCCAGTCAGCCCAAGCTTTCTTACCAAAAACTCCCTCAAGGTGGAAGCAAACCTGCAAAAGGAAAACAAGGAAAACTAAAGGAAGGAAAACAGAAAAAGCATCAAGCTTACCAGTTATAATCAAGGCCCTCCCAGCAATCGGCAACGGATCTGTCCTCCACAGTATAATTGTCCCATTAAGAAATAATGCTCTGCTTATTATTATGTTACCTGCTTATTGTTATGTTACCAGAAGCAAATCGTAAGTCGTCCCTAAAAAAAAAAACAAAAAAATATAGCACAACAAAAGTGTAACTAAAGTGCAACTAAAGCACAAATAAAGTGCACCAAAAGCATACTTAAAGCATAATTAAAGTGCACTTAAAGCATACTTAAATTACACTTAAAGCGCAAAAAAGTGTAAATAGCTTAACTTACTTTTTTTTCAAACTTTCTGAAACATTTATTCATAAAACTTTATTGCTGATTAGTTAGAAA